AAGTGATTGCGCTGTGGCCATCCCCCTGGGGGGTGATTTCTTGCTTTCTGTCTCTCTGTCTCTTTCTGGAGAGTGCACGTGCCCTATAGCAAAACCCTCTCCAAAAAAAAAAAAAAAAAATCAAATGAATACATTATGGGGGGGGGCAGGGAGGCTCCAGTAATACATTTGGGGATACTTGTGAATCCTTTCTTGGGGATCCTAAATGAACATAGAACATAGAAGGAAATAATCTGAGAGTAGGGTAAGGACTGCTAGTAAGGCCGAGATTCACTCCTACAGTGTAGATGTGTTCGTGTGGAGAGGAGAAGGCAAGGGCTAGAGTATCTCACACACAGCAGGCTTGCTTTTTTCTTTTAAAAAGTGTATTTCTCCTGTTAAACACAAAGGCTGCCTTAGTTTCCTGTGCTTTTATCAGCTGTGCCAACGCTCTCCCTGGTTTCCTGCCACAGCTGCAGCATCTGCGGCAGAGGAAGGGAAAGGGGAAGCTGCGTCTGCAGACAGTGCTGACTGGGCCGGCGGAAGGAGAAGGGACACAGGCTGGCTGTGTGGAGGTCAGCCCCTGGGAGCCACGTCAGTGCATGGTCCTTAGGGCAGGGTGCTGGCCTGACAACTCCAGAGCTGGCAAGCCGGGCAGAGTGCAGCCAGAAACACACAAGGAGGCCCTGGGCCAGGCCCTCCACCTTCGTCAGACCTCTGCTGAAGCTGTGTGTTGTCAAGAGAATCTGGTGAACCTTTATTTTTTGAATTATTTTAGACTGTGAGGATGTTTTGTTTTATTGGGGCCTAGGAAATGAGAGGCTAGAAAGGAAGATGGAACAGAAATATTTTCCTAGTGAGAGGTTTGTTTAATTGAACACATACATATAAAGGCCTGCTTTGGCTTAATGCCACCAGGTTCGAATCATGTGCTCCAGTAAAATACAGGTTTTGAGTGTGAGACAGAACTGTCTAATCCTGTGCTTATAAGTGGGTCAGGATGTAACGAAGGGGCCGAACTGAGGTGTAACGGGAAAAGGCGATGCTCTGCAGGGTTGACTCACAAAGGAAGGTTCTGGATTTGCAACTAGAGACCTCTCTGAGGACATGGGGCAGGCAGGAACCCACTATTCAAGGCTGGCTGAAGAGCTGGGGATGGGGCTCAGAGTCCAGACCCCATTGGGAGTGCTGCCTGTCTCACGCATGGAAGAAATAAATCAAAAAACTTAAAAAACTCAGGGCCAGCAGGTGGTGTAGAGGTTATGGCTCTGGACCCCCACGTGACCAACCATGGTTCAAGTCCTGGGCCTTGTGGCTGGAAACTCATACCAGATGCGTGCATGTGTGTGTGCCTAGGATCCCAAAAGGAGAATGGAGGAAAAGGGACTACAGTATGGCCATCCCCCCGAGGGGTAATTTCTCACTTTGTCTCCCGTGAGCACATGTACCTTATAGCAAAAAGCTTTCTCTCTAAAACAAAACACTAATGTTTAAAAAAATTAGGAACCAGCAGATGATGAAATGGTTATGTTATGTAACCATTATGCCTGCCATCTGCTAGTCCCATGAATTGATTCTTAAACGCAGGTCAGAAATCATGTAGCTTTTTAGTTCCTCTTTCCTGAGAAAGCACTCTAATAAGCAGGGTGTACACTACAGTCCCCTTAGCTTTCTCAGCCAGGCAGGACACAGTGGGCACATGTGAGTGTGTACAGGCTGACCTAGGAACCGAACCCCAATCTTTGTATGGCTCCTAGGGCACAGAGCTTTGTGCTGCTGCTGCACCACTGCAACTGGGCCACAACACTTGTGGGTCTTGAGAGATCCACTTTTACTTGTGGCCTCTGTGAAGAAGGGCAGTTCTTGTTATCTCGGTATTCCCTTCCTGCTCAGGCCTCTGCACCTCCAGACTCTGACAGCAACAGGGAACCAGGGGACAGGGGCCCACTCAGCCAGGCTGCCATTCCTCATGTGGCCTCAGGCAAACTGACAGCTCTGGAAGATGAGAGTGGTAACAGTGTCCATCTCACAGGGCTGTGTTCTGTGAAAGAAGTTGATGCACCAACTGCTTCAGTTCAGAGCTCCACGCTAAGCGCTCAGTAAGCTGGTGTGATTATTCAAGTAGCAAAGGGGCTCCCTATACCACATTCCTGCCCTAATTAAAAAACCTAAATACCCTGAGAATACCAAGGGAACATAAGAGCCAAAACAAATGCCTTAGGAGGACGCCTTACAAGGGCTTGCATCTATAGCCCAGACTACTTGGGAAGCTAAAGCAGAAGAAATGAGTTCGAAGCTGGCCTGGGCAACAGCAAAACTGTCTCTTCCAAAGCAACAGCAACTTGCCAGGTGCATGTGGACCCATGATCCGGGCTGGCTGGAAGGCTTGGTGGGTAGGGAGGGATCGCAGCAATGACGAGACCCTGTCAGGGTCTCCTGCCCTACTGAAGAGGAAAAAAACGGCAGGGCACAGATGGGCTCTTAAGCATTTGTCTAGTCTGAGAGGAAATATGGGGCTTTTAGAAGCCCATCAGTTCAAGGCCTTAACCTAGCATTCTCCTAGCCCATTTGCCACATCCTGTCCTCCCTCCCTGCCCTACTGAAGAGGAAAAAAATGGCAGGGCACAGATGGGCTCTTAAGCATTTGTCTAGTCTGAGAGGAGATATGGGGCTTTTAGAAGCCCATCAGTTCAAGGCCTTAACCTAGCATTCTCCTAGCCCATTTGCCACATCCTGTCTCCCCTTGTGAGGATGGGGGACATGAACCCTTGGACTTGGCATGTCTAACTATACTCATGCCATCAGTGGCTTCTATACGTTCCTAAGTTGGGAGCCCATTCTGCAACACGGGCTTGAACTTGGTTTGCTTACCACTCCTACCCTGTCCCCACCGAGCAGGCCACTTCTTCATTCAGTCTATTCCCTGAGAATAGACTTGACTATTCTCAAATCCTTTGGATGAATATAATACTTTTCTGAAACAAATCCTTCCCTAAAGCAGGATGGAGAACAGACATAACTGAAGAGGAGTTCACCTGGGCTGGGTAAAGTGGGTGGGTGCCCTAAGGTCCCACTGGCTAACCTGGCCACAAAGACCACTGGATTGAAACTAGGATTCCCAGCCAGAATGCCACCAAGCAAACATGTTTTAAAAAGCAGAAGCAGAAGAGTGCTGCTTTTGCTAGCTCAATGATAATTGCTAGTGGGCTTCTTTTTTTTTCTTTTGGAGAGGATTTTGCTACAGGGTGTGTGTGTGTGTGGTGGTGGTGGTGGGGGAAGGCCATGCAGCAATCCCTTCTCCATTCTCCTCTCGGGATCTTGGGTAAGCATGCACACATGCCCGACATGAGTTTAAACCACTGGGTCCAGGACTCAAACCGCAATCGACTACACGGGAGTCCAACAACATAGCCATTACGCCAACTGCTGCTCCCTAGAGGGCTTAATGAGACCGCAACTGCCTCAGAAGGAGGGTTTGCGGGGGTGTGAAGATGTGAGGAGCTGGAATCTAAGGTGGTGGGCATGGGGAATGGGAAGATCTGTAATACTCGCTCCTTACCAGGGACAGGGTGGGTCCCCTGGTCTACTGCTGAGAGGGATGAAGATCTAGATAGACTGAAACCTCAAGCATCTCACCTGGGGTGTTATCCAACAGGCACTGAAGAAGGATCTCCCCCTTCTGTAAGACACTCTCTGTCAGGGTCTGATGTTCATCTATGTCTTTCTTAAATTGCTTAAAGCACATTAAGGAAAGAAAACAACTTCATTACTATTGTTTTGTAAGTTACTCTAACACTACACAAGTAACCCAGAAGAGCTTGATTCCCTTCTTCCATGGATGATACACCCCACCTGGTCTGCAGAATTCTCCAAGTAAACAGTGCAATAGTTTAGCTTCTTTGAGGCCACGGCAAATAGAGTCAGTGTTTTTTCTGTTTCATCTGACAATAGAAGAGTTTTCTTTTCCCTGGCGGAGGCTGATTCACTAACAGCTCAGAGTCAAGATTTCCTTCCTGGACCCCACCTCATGGGGTTCTCTTTAACTCAGGGGGATATGGTCAAACAGGACTTGATAAGCAGGAACCACCAGAGATCTGCTACTAGGCTGACCTTGGGGAGCTGCCGCCCCCACCTCAGTGTCTGCACCTCTGTGGACTGCCTGTGGACCTCCAGGTGACCGTATCAGCACCGGGGAAGCTGAGTTTCCCAAGCAGCTCATCTCTTTCCCCTCCCAGTTACCAAGCCTTCTGGCTGCTTCTGCTTTTCCTTGGGCTGGTAGGAAGCTAGGAAGTATACAGTCAAATTCATGCCGACCTTTCGTCTAGGGTGCAGAACTTGGTGTTTAACATTTGGATGTGATGGTTTTCCTCTTGGATTTACTATTCCTCTATCCTGTGTGGGCTTATACTAGGTCTCAACCTAAGCCAGAGTCAAAGTGGCTCAAGCGTCCATGCACCATTCTGTGTGGGGAAGGGGCTGACACTGTGGTTCCACTTCATGACACAGTTCAGTTGTCCAGATGTCACAAGAAGCCTTGACCTACTGACCTCTCAGAGTAACACCTGGCTCAGATCTCAGCTCTACCCACAAAACAATATGGCTGCTTCTGGCTAGCCTGTTAGTTGAGTCCCAGAGGATAGTATGAGGCTCAGAATGGATGGAATGGAGCTGTTCTATTTGCACCTGCTTAGGCCAGGAAAGGACACGGAGGCAAATCTAACAGGGTGAATTTCTTTCCCCTCAGAGCCTCCTGGGGATGGGCCTGCACAGAGGAACCTTGGACTCAGCCTTCTCCTCTTCCCTCAAGCTCACTCTGGGCAAGGATCTCAGGGCACCCTCTCTTCACCCTGCAGAAAATGGCATTGCCACTCTGGTGGAGCAGCTGGCCAGGCCCACCCACACCCAAGGGAGGCTCCACCCCTAAATTTTAGTTGGTTCCAAGTTGACAACAAAGGTTCTCTCTCCAGCCAGGGTGTGGTCTCAGACTATGAGTAAGCTCAGTTCTTTTCCTGCAGCCCAGCTCACACATTTATATCACACCCTCTTCTGCTGAAGGTAACGTCAGGAGAAGGTTGCGGAAATTCAAAGCACTTTCCCAAGAAACCCCTTGAGACTAGCATCAATCTCAGGCCACAAACATATCTCCCCATCCCCCACTCCTTCATGGAGAGGTTTGAAAGCCTTGGCCTACCAGTCAGTCAGTGGTTCTGCCAAAGCTAACGTACTCAGGGGTAACAGCTACCCTGTTAATATATATCCTCCACTTCAGGACACTTCTGAAAATGTATGGGGACCTATTAGTTACACCAGAAAACAGACACAGATATACTTAATCTAGGATCAAGTCAACTAAAATCCACGAAAAGGTGTTTTTAAAACAATAGAACCTCAGGGCTGGCCAGAAGGTGGCACAGGGTTAATGTAACTGGACCCCTATGGGAAGGTCCCAGTCCATGCTGGGGGTATGTGTTCATGCCCATGATCCAGGCTGGCTAAACTTGGGAGCTGGTCACTGCATGGAGACACAGTGGAGGGTGCCTGTCCGTCTCTCTCTCCCATCATGAAAGGAAGAAATAAATTGTACAAAAAAGGCAGGGAGGGGCACATGGCAGTGCAGTGGTGAGATGTGACTCTCAGAGGCTAATCCACATGGGAAAGTTATGTGTTCATATCTGGACGCCTCCCTGAGTACACCAGGCTCATGTGATCCAGGGTTGGATGAGGCTGGAGGTGGATCACTGTGTCAAACCCCATTGGAATTGCTGTTGCTATTTCTCTCACTCATGAAAGAGATAAATGAACTTAGGGAAAAAATCAGAACCTTGATGATAAAGCAAAGGAAAAACTCCAAACAAAACCCAAACACCCACAGAAAGACTGATGTCAGACTTTGTTTAAATGATCAAAATGCTGGGATCAGCAGTTGGTGTAATGGCTATATCACTGGACTCTCATGGAGTCAACTGCTGTTTGAGTCCCGGGCCAGGTGGCTTAAACTCACGCCGGGCACGTGTGCGTGTGTGCCCAAGATTCTGAGAGAAGAATGGAGGAGAAGGGATTGCAGCGTGGCCATCCCCCTTGGGGGGGGGGGGTGATTTCTTGCTTTCTCTCTCTCTGTTTCTCTCTCTCTTTCTGGTGAATGCATGTGCCCTATAGCAAAAACCTCTCAATAAATAAATAAATAAAAATAATAAAAATACCCTATGTATATTTCAGCTCTGTACCATTTCAGCTCTGATGCTTACATATCAGTGCAGTTCCCAGAGAACTCTGAGGAAGAAAGTGTTCTATGTCTGCAATTTGCAACATGGCAGCCACTAGACAAAAGTGATAAAGTGTCTGGAAGGTGGCTAGTGAAACTGACAACTCTGAATCTTTAATTTTATCTGATTTAAATAGTTATACGTGACTAAGTAGCTCCATAAAGCACAGCTCTGTATTTGCAATGCCTGAGACATCTGGGAGATCACATTGCAAATCCCCCTGAAATATTTTTGATTCAAGATATGTCTAACAGGGCTGAAGGCGACTGAATCTCTGCTCTAAACTGTATCTTCCAGACCTCAGCAAAAGCTCAGCCAGGAAGGGCAACCTCTGTCTTGTATGTCTCTTTATATATATATATATTTTTATTTTTAAAACACTTCTCACCTCTCACCTGTCCTTTCTCTTGCTAATTTAAGAAGCCATTTATATCTGAGTGTGTCCTGCTATGTCAAGTGCACTGCGTGGTTTTCATTTTTTGGTTAAAACTTTTTTTCCTTGCCTTTTTGTTTTGGTCCTTCCCCTCCCCTTTGTTTCCTTCCTTCCTTCCTTCTCTCTCTCTCTCCCCCTCTTTCTCTTTCTCTCTCTTTCTTTTTTCAACCTTACTTTCTCACTCTGCTCTTTAGGTTCCACACACTGACTGTCTAGACAGGCCTAGGTGCACAGTAGCTAAGCATCTGAATACGTTAGGGTCATAGAAATCCTCAATTCTTACTGAACCTGCTGCCTGAAAGAAGAAACTCCTCTTTCTAAATCTGAACTCAAAACCTCCTTCTGTGGGTACCACGTTGCAAAACACAGTAGAGGAAAAAAATTATCTCAGAAGTACATCATAGTAAAGGGAAGTACATGACCTTACAGTTGCAGAAATCTTTCATCAATTGACCTAAAGTGAATACACCACTAAATGGCTAAAGTTCAAAGAGAGACTGCAGGGAGAAGTATGGCGCTACAGAGAACACAGTTCATCTCCTCTCACGCACCTCTGAGCTCTCAGTTGAAACCCCACAGCGAAGCCCAGGTGTACCTATTCCCTAGAAACTGTGACGCCTTTGTAATATCCAGTTATAAGATCAAAAGTGCAAGTTGTTTGGTGAGCATCAGGGAAACGGAACTGCAGAGAGATTGGGGATCACTTCCTCCCACATACCTCTGAATGCTTAGAATTCGCCTTTGTAATATCCAGTTATAAGATCAAAAGTGCAAGTTGTTTGGTGAGCATCAGGGAAACGGAACTGCAGAGAGATTGGGGATCACTTCCTCCCACATACCTCTGAATGCTTAGAATTAATTCCAAGAAATTAGGAAGAAACATATAATCCCTAATGACCAGAAATCACCACAGAGGCACAAGAAATATGAAAAACCAAGACAGTATCCCTCCCCCAAGGGAAAAGTACAACCCTTTGTCACCACAGACAGTACAAAGGAACTCAAAGAAATGTCCAATAAAGAATTCAGAATATTCATAGTGACAAAACTGAATGAAATGCAAGAAATGAAGAACAATGGACTCCAGAAGGCGCAAGAGAAAAGAGACAATGAGTTCTGGGAGGAGAGGAAGTTCTTTCACGATTTGAAGAAATACATGCCATGAAAAAGAATCAAACAGAGCTGACAGAGATGAAGGCAGGAAATCAAAACCTCCCTTGAAAGTATTAAAAGCAGATTAGACTGTGTAGAAGATCAAATGTCAGATGTTGAAGACAAAACCTCTGACTTAGAAAAAAATAACCAAATAGACTGAGTAACCCAAAAAAACATGAGCATAATATATGAAAATACTAGATACCATTAAGTGCCCAAACATGCAGGTAATTGGTATACCAGAAGGTGAAGAAACTGATAAATAAAGGTTCTCACTTTCTCTCTGTCACTCTCTGGTCAAAATTCAATTAAGTAAATAAAAGCTAAATAATAAAAAAAAAAAAAGGGGGGGTGCTGGCAGGTGGTGTGGCGGTTAAGAGCGTTGGACTCCCACATGCCGACTGTGGTTTGAGTCCCGGATCTGGCGACTTGCTTTCTCACTTTCTCTATCTGGTCAATTTTAAAAAAAAACAGATTTGTCCTTTCTTCCTTCCTTCCTTTCTTCCTCCCTCCCTCCCTCCCTCTTTCTTTCCTTCCTTTCTTATTTAAATTTGACCAGAGAGGGACAGAGTATGGAGGGGAGAAAGAGAAAGTGAGAAAGCAAGCCACCAGGACTCGAACCACACTTGTCCACGTGGGAGTCCAGTGTCCCCAACCACCACGCCACCTGCTGGCCTCCTGGTCAAAATTAAAATAAATAAATAAAAGTTAAAAAATAATTCTTAAAAAAGGGGGGGTGGCAAAAAGAAACAATAAGGGCACTGATAATCTATTCCATGAAATCCTGGAAGAAAACTCCAAACCTAGAGAGGCATTCAAATATCCAGAGCCAAGAAATACAAAGGACCCCTAATAGAATCAACCTGAGAAGATCTCCAAAGCACATTATAGCCAGATTGGCCAAACTCACAAACACAAGATACTAAAATTGGCAAGATAGAAGCATCAGGTTACTTACAAAGGTTATCCTATCAGGGAAACGTTGGACCTCTCATGGGAAACAATGTGAGCAAGGAAATAATGAGAAAATATATTCAAAGTCTTAAGGGAAATGCAGTTGTAACCGAGAATACTGTACCTGCAAGATTTTTCTTCATATAGGAAGAAAAGACAAGAACATTCTCAGATAAACAAAACCTGAAAGAATTTACCACACCAGACCAGATCTCCAAGAAGTTCTCAAGGGAGTGCTATACCAGGAAAATGAAACACAGACACACAGACATAAGAGTTCAAAAACTAAGAAAATGACCAACTTAATCATAGGAACAATAATAACGTTGATTATTAACTTCCAGGATTTAAACAGAAAGATTGGACCACAGTAACACTGCAAATTCAACAGGAAAGTGATTAAATACATGCGACTGAACTGGTGAAATAGAATTTTATGACTTTTGACTGAAATAGTACTGGATTTTTTTTTCTTATGCTTTCCTTTCCAGATTTAAGGATTTTGCTTTCTACTGTACTTTCTATTGCGTTGTTTTATTTTCCCTTCCTGACCCCTCTGGAATTGGAAAATATTTGTGAGTATTCTTATTTTGTGGCAGAATGGGTATTTGCCTAAGTTCAGTAATACCTGTTGCCTTGCATCAGAAACTGGAAATACTCGTTATTGCCAGGGCTTTGATTAGAATGTCATATCTGGAGATATGACCAGGAAACTATGGAACTAAGGTAGATCTCAAGAAAGCCAAGGAAAGCTCTTGGAAAGATTGGCACCATAAACAGTTCTGCCTGGCAGAGAGGATTAGAGAAACTATATAAAAAAGAATTCGTACCATAAAATAACCTGGACTTTTCCAGCTCAGCACTGTAATCAGTAGAGACTGTAGAAGAGCAACCACAACCAGAGGATTACCTTGAGGAAGACTTTGAAGGAAGAAAAAGAAGCTGATCTTTGCTAGCCAGTGGTAAACCACAGAACACTTGGTAAGCAGAACTGAGTTGGGAAGGTTCATGTGTGAATTGTGTGCTGGGTGCTTGCTTTTCAACAGTTTGAGTAGTTTAAATATTTCCTCAAAAATATTTAAAGCCATATTGTCTCTGTTTTAGAGTCGCAAACAAATTTATGACAAATATTTTGAAAGTTATCTTTAAAATTCAGTTTTTGGAAATTTTGAAATTTATTTATTAACTCTCAAGAACTATAAAGTATGAGCAAAATTTTTTTGATATGTAAAGTCAATTTTTGTGAGACAATGTAAATACATAAAAAAGAAAAGCAAAACACAATAGGAAAACAAACAAAAGATATGTATAACTTATTTTCTCCACATACTCTTTGGCTTGGGAAATAACTAGTGCATTTTACAAGGTTTTCGGCATTAAGAATTTGAAAAGGGCCTCTGATGACATTGCAGGTAAAAACTGCTTGAGCTATAACATACAGCATCAGTTGTTAGAGATTTTACTTTATAATCAAATAATTTATCTACCACTCTCATGAGTAAACCAGACAGAAGCCAGAGTCACATCTTACCCGGTAAAGCTGCAGAGATGACTTGAGACCTGTTAGATTGGGCCTGAGTGGAGTCCCCTGGTCGGTGACATCTGCCAAAGTACACAACCAGTGGATCAGCTCTTCCAGCTGACAACAAAATGTCTGAGGAGACAAATAAAAGAACACATGGTGTTACTGCCTGAACTGCTGGTGATCAAAAGGCTAAAAATATCAGAACGCCAGAGATGAACTATGCTTCTTTCCAGAGCTTTCCCTCGCTGAGGTTGTCTCCTCTCCCCTCCTCCTCTGCTTGTCCCCACCTGTGACCTCCCTCGGCCAGGGCAATGAAAAGCCTCATGTGGGCTGTCTTCTCTCAACCTGATGGACAACAAAAATTACAGGTAAGAGCAGCTAAAGCAAGAGCAGGGACAGGAGCAGCTCAGGAGGACGGGCTCTGACGGAGACCAATTTTGGACCCACATCACTGTCAACTATGAGCAATTTCGGAAACATGAATGTAAAGTACATGACAAGTCATGACTGATCTGAACCCACAGTGCAAACCAGCTTTATTTCATGACACCTCAATCTCTTAAGACAAAAGGGTACAGGGTAACAACTCTCTTAGCTGCTTCAGAGGACAACTAAAGCAACCACCTGTGTGAGGCTGCGTTCCCAGTCGACTAGCAGGCCATTGCCGCACGTGTAACGCAGCATCCCCATGCTCACTGGGGAGCAGGGCACTGGAGGCTCAGGCTGTGGCACGGTCCTGGACCTTCCATGTCAGGACTGCCCAAAGCCCTCAACAGGACCATATTCCTTAATCCCAAAGAGTCAGGGCTCCACATTTTACAAATGAGTGAACTCCAGAGACTGAGCTCAGAATCCCAAGTCAGCAGTGTCAAGCTTGGAAGGCAAACCTGCCTGACCCTGACGACCTATTCCACATGGGATTAATGACAGTTCCAGAGGTTAACAGTGGTCTACCAAAAAAAAAAAAAAAAAAAAAAAAAAAAAAAGGG